TTGCCACATTCCCTTGCTGCCACACGGTTTGATTTAGAATAAAATGTCAAAAATTTTCATCGTCTACGTGTGAGTTTTACAGAAATGGTTAGACATATGCAGAAAGGATCGCATTTTTTCCCCTAAAATTTTAGTATATGCATGTTAACTGCAAGAAAGTTTTCAATATATTGCAAAAATCCTGTGTACCTTTTAAATCACACAAGAGAGTATTTTGTGAAAATTTCAAAAATATTTTTTTGAGAAAAACGTGTTTAAAGTTTCAATTACTGATTGACGAGGCGCGGTGACGCGCTTCACTAAATCGGCTGCATCGAAATTTTTCATTAAAACTATTTGAATTATATTTTTAAAAGTATAACTACCAATTTAAAAATTCGATTTGGTCAAACCTCAGAGGTAGTCTAACCCCCTTGAGAGAGTATTTCCGTTTCACATGTCAAAAAAATCTAATTTTTTTTTTGGTATTTTCTTATAATTTTTGATCCCAAAAACGAGTCTGCAAAGTATTGCAGCGAAACTCATAAAGTTTCCAGAACCACACAGGTGAAAACGTCACGCCGTTATGCACATCTAAACGGGATGAAAAGCTTCAAACGCGTTTTTCTCAAAACGAAGTGTTTTAAGACGGGCACATTGATGTCTGAGATACGACTGAACGGATGCGGCAGTAATTTTGCATAAGTGTTCAGCATACCATTGGCTACGATCTGTGCCTCCAACTTATTTTTATATTAAAAACGAACAACTTTTCCAGGCAAAGAACGGTCAAAATTTTTCTGCAAAAAGCGAACATTTTGTTTAAAGTGTCACTATTTCGTTAACTTTCGTTAACCCTACTTCTAAGGATGAAAATAAGCTTTGGTTTTTTAATTTTGGACGACGGAGGCAAGCAGTTGGACAAGTGCGCCCGACGAACAAAATTCTTTATAAGGAAGCTTGCGTCGTCAGCTATAACTCTGTAAATTTTCAATAAAAATGCTTCTAAAAATTCTGGGTATTACTTCGAATATATCTGAAAATATGCATTACAAAACGCTACGTATGTTAAGCCTATAGTTTTTGTTAAGTAAATTCGCACATATTTCGTTAAAAATGGTCGTTCAAACGAGGATACCATCTTAAGACCAAGAAGGGTTGGCACGTTCGCTGCCACCAGAAAATCGATAGCACGCTGGGTAATACATTCTGGACCGCATATGCTGCGTCGGTGGCAGCGACGTGTTAATTTGAGTCAGAAATTTCTTGGGAACATTAACGGGAGGTTCCGTATTAAATATAGGTACGTTTACAATCTTTACGAATTTCTAACGCGTCTGAAAGAAATTTTCGACACTTGGAATTTTAATTTGGAACTTTCCGAAAAATTCGTAAATAGTATCTATTAGATACAACAGAAGTAGAAAATAGAAAATTGAATCAGAAATACGTATTTATCGATTAACCGAATAGAAAGCTAAGGGACAAAACTATGCGTACTGCACACTACCACCTCTATTTTCAACCCCCAATTCATCGACGTGTTCGCATAAAATTACCGTGAAACTTTCGCCTGTCCTTCGAGTCAATTTACCGTACAGGTTATTCGAATCGATTCGCGAACAGCGGTTGTTCCCGCTGTTAGTGGAGGCGAAACTACGGAATAAGTCGCTTCTGACTGGTGGTCGATGCCTGGATACTCGAAACATCGTTTCTCGTTTTCGTCTGGGACGAGTGATTCCCTTGATTTCGATGCATTACTGTGGAAGCATGCCCAAAGGTAACGTTTCGAAGAATCTCTCTTGTGAAAACACTCTTCCCGTTCACGTTTTTTGCGTTTTTGATAATGAATACTTTTTGGATTGTTTAACAGTGATTACTTGTTGTCTCTTTAATAATCAACATTGACTTGCAATATCGAGATCGTTATTTTAATTAAGCTGTTGTTTAATATTTCGAATTTTTCACTTTTTAATTGCACTATTATATCTCCCTAAATTTTTGCTGATTTTTGCATAATTAGCACTTTCGCCGGGGTAGTTTTTGATACGTAACGTTAGATGTTCGACGATCGATCAACCGCAGCCGCAAGATCTTTTGTTTCAGCGTTCTAAAATTTTTCGAAAAATTTTAAGTTAAGGTGGAAGTGCATAAAGGGCAAAACTTAAGGATTAAATTAAGGTGAAAGTGTGGTAAAAGTTGACAAGAGCACAGTGCGAGGAAATTTTCGCAACGTCTATAAGCGTCAAGGGCACAGTGCGAGATAATTTTCAGTGCCTATAGGCGCCAACAGCAGTGAAAGGGGGTTGAGTGTTTCAGAAATTCAAATTTTTGTCTTTGAATAGAAATTTTGGTCTTTTGCTTTCATCTAGTTTCTGAAGCTATCTCTAAGCGTGAAAAGAACAGATAAAAATATTGAATCTGCTACTGATTACAGTGGGGACCCCGTATAAGGCAATAACAAAAAGAAGAATATACAAATTCTGAATTTTGGGTTAATTAAATTTAACCCAAAAAGCGATGTCAGTGGAGTTTAATTTGTATTATATTTCCCGCGTTGTAGGGGGTCTTACTATATTCATAAATTTGAAATTAATAATTTACTCCGTTTCGGTCGATTTGAGTAACAGACAATTCGTTAACAAATTCCTAAAGATGCTAACTTTTTCTAAAAATTTTCGGATAACTTTCAATGCACAGTAATCCAAAACTTTTGGCCAGTAGTGCATGCATCACGTTGATTTATAAGTTCCTGCGGTTTTTCCTGGTTTTTGTTCTCTTGGCTGAGATAATGTGAAATCCACGAACTAAGTTTTTGCAGTTTTTCCATTGTCTTTAAATGGCGGAGCACTGTTCGATGAGAACAGTGCATCTTCTTGACTAATTCACCAGTTGATTGTTATTACAAAGCAGAGCTTCCAAACGCTCCTCATCGAACTAAAATGGTCGAATGTTACTCATCATTTATGACAAAATTGCCTATGTTTCTGCTAGTAACATAGTTCTGTTAGTAACATATCTTCTTTCCTAGACAGTACAAATGCTATGGGCAGCTTTAGCAACTTTAGAACTACGATTGAACTCATCAAGTAAAATATGTCGGAAACGCTCATTTTTCTTAATATAGTTTTTGAACAAAAAGCTTTTTATTATTTGAACAGAACCAAAAAATTCACAATACCACTCAAGAAGAGAACAAGCTATCGAATGACGTATACATATAACATAGCCGATAGGGAAATGTTATGAATTTCATTCAAGACGAAATGAAAACCGCACGAACTTGTGGACCAATCTAATAAGTTACCAGAAACGTGTGTGTTAAGTCGACTAACAATAAGTCTCGTTCGTTTGAATTTCTCTGATCAGATCTTGAGAGTTGTTGGATTGTTTTACGTCTTGGCGCGATATTAAGCTGGAAACTTCTCTGGGATTTAAGCATAAGCGGATTTACGCGGGTTTTCGTGGTTCAGGGCCAGCGTCAACGAAAGTGCAGTAGTGGTAGCTGACATTAGCCAGTGGAATGGTTTTATCTTGCTTCTTCGATCGAGAACAATATTGTTATACTTATGACCGTTGAAATTTTACCCGAACAATTTAAGGAATAATTTTGCATACGACTAGAGATTCCGAAAATATTGGACACGTATTTTTTTTTTAGCTGCTGATATTCATGTTTAGTAGGTGAAATCACTTTTCAAACTTCGGGGCTGGAAAAATTAGAATAACTCGAACACGAATTGACGTAGAGTTAAATACGATTTTATACGGTTTTTACCATTTAATTCAGCAAACTTCTTTTTATTCCTCGTCGTATTATTTTTTGGATCTTTATAAAATAATTTTTTTAGAAAACCTACGATAACAGCTGATATAAAGAGAAAAAGATAGTACTTACAGATTCCCGAAAATTGAAATTCGTCTGCTACAATTTAATAATTTATAGGAATTATTCTACTAAGATAAGAAGTTGCATTTAGTTCAAATGAAATAGATCAAAATTGAGAATAAAATGAAGCGGTTAAATAAGATTTGAACATTTTCAACATTCAAATATTATTTCAAACGAGCAAATACACATAGTGATAAGTGTCTGTCAGTTACTTTTGCAGATAAGATGAGATAAGGACGCGTATTTCCTCGATTTTGCGTTTATATTTACAAATTGATATAATTCGAAACTTGTGCCTTATTTACAATTGATTTTTGAAAAAAGAAACTCGTTCATAAAATCTTCAAAAGGATCCTCTTTAAATATTCTTTACAAAGAAAAAAAAGATTCATTCGATAGGAAAAGAAAAATATTTCTTCAGCCTCCATGTGTTTAAAAAATTCCCTCTAAAAAAAAACGAATGTTTCAATCATTTTCTTTTTTACGAAGAATCTTGTATAGGGGAGAAATAAAAACACAATCTCAAGACATTTTTCGTCGCGAAAGAAACAAAATTTCAATATACGCTCCCGTTCATAAGTATTAGAACACTTATTGTATGCGAAGCAAATAATTATTACAAAATTATTAAAATCCTGAAAAAAAAAGAGAAAACGATTCAGTCTGGATTTTCGTAGTATACAATATCTAAACAGCTATTTCCATTTAAAATGCCGTCACCAAAATAAGATCTTAACAGTGTGTCGCTGATTATGCCAGTTGTAGGTCGTTGAACTTGTCTCGAGAACGCTCTCATATAATATAAAATAAATTGTAGCTAACAATTAAAAGTATTCGTGGTATTGGGTATAAAAAATAATGAAACTTTGTCCTTTTTTATTTTCCTCGCAAATCTACCTCGCAAATTTACGAGAAAAACTCTATACTTTTACTAATGTATGACACTAACTTTGACAAAGAAATATAATTGAAATCTTGTAACACTTCTTGTACGGACGTAACGGGTATCCTAATACTTATGAACAGCAGTGTATTACTCAAAAACGTTCCTCTTATAATACGATAGATGCTTCTCACTCTTTTCTCTTTCTTATAAAAAATAATAATCTGAATGGTTTTTTGTTAACAGAGTCGCGAGGATGGTGGGCAGCGTGCCGAGCGGATGGATGAGGAAGATCCTCCTCTTCCTGGTCCTGATGACCGGAGTCCTGCTGATCGCGATGTACGCGCACGCTCCTCCACTTGCCTCTCTCCAGCCATTCTCCTCACGACGGTGAGTACATACTCGATAGTATAATGCACGGTAGCCAGTCGATACTTGTCCCTGTTATCGCCTATTAATACGTTCGCTGCCGCCGTCGAAGCATTGTCGACACAGTATAAGTTGCCCCGTTTGCAATTGCCGACAGTGTTCTGACAGCGTATTGATCCGTGATCGTCGTGACATCGAAAATCCTCGTGAAAATCACGTGTCTGGCTGAGAGTTTCAAATTAGTGGCACACAGCACGTTCCTCGCGAATTTCTGGGTGGTAGCGAACGTGTTAAACTGCACACACGGCCGTCGTCACGTTCCTGAGACGTCTCGGTTCGACGCCGTCGTTCGATCGTCCACGCTTTTGCACGCTGGACGACCCTCAGCAGTCCTCGCGAATCTAATTATTAGAGAGAAAGAATGCAAGGTTCTAGACACAACGATATCTTGTCTGCCCTTCGTTAATATCACGTCCCATCCATCTTTCTTTTTCCTTTTCCTTTAACGATTCACTTGTTCATTAGATTCTCTGCTGGGTGGTCGAAACAACAGGTGGAAAGAATTCTACAGGGTAATTCTACGAGGTAAAATAAAAGGAAAATGAAGAACTTGAAAATCGCGGTTAAGGCTTCGATTGTTGGTTAGGAAAGTTTGAAAAGCTGGCCCAAAGGCCCTTGATATATGGCAACCAGTCGCGGGTTTATTGCTTATAGAGTGGATCAACGTGAAAAGTAGTAATGTAGAATATTCAGTAGTGTGTAAAAATGTAGAGGTTTGAGGTTGGAGTTTTAATTGAATTTTATCATTTACGAGTATCCAGATTTCAGAAATTTATGATTTCTAATGGACTTACACGAACGATTATTGCCAAATACGTCGAATTGTGGATATATACGAACTCTGCAAAATTGATCACACCTTCTACAAAATGAATCACTATCTTCACACAATGATTTGCTTCCTATAAGACCACCCTTTAACCTGGTTTACAATATCAAGTACGAGACGGGTTGCATATTCTCAGGGGTCTTTGGTCCAATTTTTCAAATACTTCTAACCAAAAAGAAATTCCCCCCTCCTCGCCGTTATTTACAATATAAATGATAATCGTGAAATTACTCGTGAACAAAAGTTGCATGATTTCGAAAGGGACATGCGTTAGAATAATTTTTTTTCTACATCGTTTACACATAAAGTTTTGAAGGTTACCTTAATTTTATATGCATATTTGAAAAATATACAAGGTGTCTGATGTAAGTGTCATGTCCTGAAATTTTAGGGTTCTCCTTGAAGTTTACAAACAATTGTTTTAGACAGAAGTTAAACTATATTTACATGTGCACAACTTTCGCAAACCAGAGTTTCTTTATTTACATTTTTTTCAAAGATACGAATATTACCTTTTGTTTTTCGAACGAAACAGTAGTAGCACTCAGAACACTTATTGTAACCAAACACTTAAAAGTACCGTAACATTGCACAGCTTCCGTCGATTTTTTACAGGATATTTGTGTTTCTCGTAATATACATACGTACATAGTTGTTAAATTTGTCACGGTTCGTTCTAATAGAAAATATATAAAAAATGCTGCAGTTTCGCTTAAAAGACGAAAAGGTGACGAAAGGTAAAATGTAGTTATGCATACTTAAGTGTAATTCAACTTTTATAGAAAACAATTATCATAACGTCCAAGGAAAGTTTCTGAAATTTTGTTGCGACACTTGTACATGGGAAGTCATGTATAAACGCTTGTTCTTTTTCTCTGATTCGTATCCTCGAATGTTTCTTTCTTTCCCGCCGCGCGGACGCGTCGTTTATTTATTTTAACTTTTTGTTTCTTAACTTTTGTTGCCGCAACTCGTTTCCGTTCACATTACCTCCCGCACGACACATCCGACCCCGATGATGATTGACGTCAAAGACTGAAGGAGTTGCAACGAGGCTTGGTTACTTTCCTGGTCGGTAATGAAAGCACGAAGAGACCCGAGGAACGGCTCTACGAGTATCTGGAAGAGCCTAGGTAACGTCTTCTTCCCCTCCCCCACGTGCCCCAAAGGATTGTACTTTGCTAAAGCTTTCTCTTCCCTTTTCTTTTTTTTTTCTTTTTTTTTTGTGTTCGTCTTTTCCCCTAATGGAAATTTGCATAAAGAACCCGCCATTGCAAGATTTCTTCTTCTCAACGCTGATGCTCTGTCATCCGTTTCATCGACTGTTCTTTCGAGACACCCCGTATGCTATTTTCTCTCCCTTCGTCATGCCTTCTTGCATGTCCAGCGTTCATTTCATTCCGTGTCTCTTTTATGGTGGTCGTTGATGGATATTTATCGTGGACGAAGAAAAATGGAATAGAACAGTGGTGAGCAAACTTTCTTTTGCTGCGGGCCAAAATTGAAAGTCCAACAATCCGTAACGCGATCTTAAAAAATCTAATTTGTTAATTTATACGGTGTAGAATATTTTGTTTTTTCACCTTTTCTCGATCAAGGAGGATATAAATGAATAATTACAAACAGCTTGAAAATTGTAGGTTTTTATTGAATTTTAAGTAAGTAAAGCGTGTGTAATCGAAAGCAAAAGATAGCTAACATATGCAGACGCTTTTCCAAGGAATTATGCAGTTACTTGTTTGCAGATTCTCAATGTTTACGTGTCGTTTTTATCATATTATCTACAGGATGTTTCAGCAAACCTGTTACAAGCCGGTATCTACATATGAACCTATCAATGGTATTGAGATGATTGTTTTTTTAAACTTCATCATATGAGAAGGCCTTTTGTAGTATGTGAACACAAAAAATCTAGTCCCACTGCAAGCGCAGGAAACGGACGGTAAATTAAATTTTTTAAATGGAACATGGATAAATATGTATATAACGAATTATTCCATAAGTTCGTGCCGAATGCGAAAAATATTTTAATGAAAATCCAAAGAAATTCTGTAGCGATGACATAATGGTATTTCCAGAAAAAATAAAATAGAAAAAAGTTGTGGAACAAGAAGGCGCTTACGTTTTTCTCTTAATAAATTTAAAGGTTTTTGTTGGAAATGTTAATCTAAATTATAAACTTGAAATTTTGTATTTTGAAATTTTGCACGTATCAAAAGTTGTAACATACTTTAAGAGGCCCCTTTATACGGTAAAGTTTAAAAACAAAAATCATCTGGATACCATTAATAGTAACAGGTTTGTTGAGAGACCCTGTATACTGAAAATTCTTCTTCTCCTTGAAAA